ACGCTAGCACACACCTTGACCAGGCATTCAACAGGGAGACATGGCTTAACAGAATCAAAAGAGCGGACCCCACCACAGAACTCGTTCTAAAGAATGTTTGGTCAACGGTCGTCATTCGACACAGCACCTTCGTACTACTGACAGATGCTGAGCAATCGATCTATCGATTTCGAAAAAGCTTTGAGAAATGGAATGTCTATGAGTAATGTCAGGAGGTAGTGATGCGGTAGCGTTTTCTGTAATGATTTTGGTTTTATCTACGACCGTTGTCTCAATAGCTGGAGATTCCTCGCATATGATTCACCCACACGGTCAGTGATGTCTATGTTGAAGGCAGTTGGCATGGTAATTTGGTACACGGCCTAAAATGCAAGCAGTGCGCCATATATGGAAAAGTGGCGAGAAAACCCAAGTGAAACGGTCAAAAACCTGCCAAGAAAGCCTTCATTCTTAATTTCCCAAAAAGCTTTTTGGACGAGTAACGTAGCCATCTCGCCAGTGACCGCTACGCTAGGTACTGCTGCGAGTAGTAGTAGTATGACATGCATACATGCCGCATGGATATGAGTACTACTACTACATACTACATACATCGCAGCCGATTCTTACCAATCCATTCGATTTATGTTTCACTTAGCAAATGAAGCAATACGAGCAGTAGGTACAGTCGCTCATTTGTGGGCGGGCGGGCGTGGTGGGCGTTCGGGTCAATATGTTTTAGCTTGATGCAGCTTTTTAAGGTTAGCTTCCTTGAAGAAGGCGCTCCGCAGCGCCTGCTCAGGTTCGCAGAACTTGTTCTGCCGAGCATATTGATCCCACTCGTCTAAGGGATTCATCGTGCCGACTGCCTTGAATCTTCGGTCTTGTGCTCATTATTTCGGAGCCTATCTGTGACAGAATGGATTAGATTGGCAGGAAAGTTCTGTCACATTTTTTCCAATCAGACTTTCTTCTACAGAGAGGCGTACAAGATCAAAATTATACAGTTATTGAGAGATACTTGCCGGTTTTCGGACAGCTCGTAGATGCCATTGCTTAAAAATGCACGCCGACGCGACGCAGTTGGACATCATCTTAACTTTGACTTAGGCTCGTGGAGGTTTCCTCGGCTGTATAACGGTTGAACACGGGAGGCGACTAGCTGTCAGAAAGAGCAATGTCTGGACTACACCGGTGCATGGGGAAAGCCACCCAGCTCATGAAGTACGGCTCGAAGTACGGCTCGAACTTCTTTTGACGGGATGTCCTGCACCAGCACGTTGAAGACGGACTGTGCCGATGGATGCCCTCTGCTTGACGATTCGCTTCAGATCTCGTAGCTGCCTTGCGTACGGATTGACCGAGGAGGCAGCTTTTTCATCCAGTAGTTTCCCGACCCACCGCTATCTAGAGCTGAGTTTACAGGTACTCCCGAACCTCACTTCGTCATTCTAACCGTAGGCTCCCGCTCTGAAGGGCTAGCGTCGTGGAAGATTGTCTGATGACTGTAGACATGGTCCTTGTGCAGCTCCATAATTTCGGCATCGACAGCTGCCATGCTGGCGCCAGGGTGGTAGAAGGAATAGTTTGAGGAAGCGCTTAAAGGGGTCGGTGCTGAAGGTAGCGGATAACATTCTTGTCCATAATGCAGAATTAGGATGAGCAGGAGCCGAGCCAGTGACACTAATAGAAAGATCAATCCTTACTGTATAAATGCTCAAATTACCGATTGGCCCTCTTCAGGTAATAGGTGAATACTTGGGTTCAAAAAAGTATGAAAGAACTTTCCCGCCAACCTAATATTATTAGGTTGGTCGAAAAGTCCTGCGACACTTTGACCAATTTTTCGGACTAAATTTTCAGTCACTAAGTTCAAGTTCACAAAAGACATCTCCAATCTACAAGGTAATCACCACTAAGGACTAGGACTAGTGCCCTTCTTTTGCACAGCTTCTCATTTCCATTCTTCTAGAACTACGGCAACTATGATAAGAAGAAGAGGTGGACCTCATTTTTGAGTAGACGTCGATTTCGGAATTTTTGGCCTTCTTAAGGATGAGGTAGGATCAAAATGGTAGTAGTTAGAGACTGCTAACTTTGATGAATAAGCTGGGTATGGTCGCATTCTCAGATCGAGATCCACGATCTTTTGGTGTGCCTGATCTTAACATGCGTCTTCGCAATGCCGAGCGCTAGAGAAAAATTGTGTATTTTGAAGAATTCAAGCTTGACGTCATCCATGTTGGAGGTCGGTTAGAGAGGACTGTAGTCCTTACCGTTATGCTAGTATCCAGAGATACCGCTTTGAAGTCCCACCAATAACCTACTGAAATCTTTTCCCATGCACATGTGCTTTTGGCTGTGCAATCTACTTTTCTGTTCGAGAGATCCTGCGAGGAACATGTGCAAGGTGTACGCAAGGACCCCACCACTCTCTAACAACCACAAGATCTCACAAAAGTTCCTCCAGTGTGTACAAGGAAAAAAAAAACCCCGGTCACGGTCATACGGTATGACTTGTCAGAGGGTTCAACTCATGGGGCATCCTTCATAAAATTTTTTTCCAAAAACCGAGACTGCGGAGAAGCATGGCAGTTGTCAGTTAGGTGGAGCTAGAGAGGTTGCCTACTTACTGTGGTTACGTTCGGCTGGCGCCTCAAGAACCTTGAGTAAAGGGCCGTCATTCTGTGCTGGTGGCCTACCTATACATTGCCTACTTCCGAGTTGAATAAGTCCAGCCTGGAAGCGCTGATGCAAAAGGAACTCTCTGCTATGGCAAGCGATATCCTTCCTTAAGACAACGTAACTGTCAGCTTCCTCGACTACGCGGGGTGGCCCTAGAGGAACTCATAATATGGGACAGGTCCAAAAGTACCTCGACCTCTGGGAACTTTTAAGCTTTGAAAACTTCCTCAAAGCCATGATATACCATGGTGCAGAAACCTCAGAGGACACTCTCCACTAATCAGGGATAAAAACATCCAAAATGATTTTTGGTCTTTTTCTAGAATAGTTCAAACAAAGTGTCGCAGGACTTTTCGACCAACCTAATAGGTTCTAGGGCCACCCCGCCGTAGTCGAGGAAGCTGACAGTTACGTTGTCTTAAGGAAGGATATCGCTTGCCATAGCAGAGAGTTCCTTTTGCATCAGCGCTTCCAGCTGGACTTATTCAACTCGGAAGTAGGCAATGTATGGGTCGCCACCAGCACAGAATGACGGCCCTTTACTTAAGCTTCTTGAGGCGCAGCCGAACGTAACCACCAGTAAGTTGGCAACCTCTCTAGGCTCCACTTAACCGACAACTGCCATGCTTCTCCGCAGTCCTCGTTTTTGGAAAAAATTTTTATGAAGGATGTCTCATGAGTTGAACCCCTCTGACAAGTCATCCGAATGACCGTGACTGAGTTTTTTTCCTTGTACACACTGGAGAACATGTGAGATCTTGTGGTTGGTAGAGAGTGGTGGGGTCCTGCGTACATCTTGCACATGTTTCCTCGCAGGATCTCTCAGAGAGAAAAGTAGATTGCACAGCAAGAGCAGATGTGCATGGGATAAAAGATTTCAGTAGGTTATGTGGGACTTTAAAGCGATATCTCTGGATACTAGCATAACGGTAAGGACTAACAGTCCACTCACTCAATCCACAACAATGGTGACGTCACGCTTAATTCTCAAAAATACTCAATTTTTCTCTACCCGCTCGGCAATGCGAAGACTGCAGGTTAGGATCAGGCCACACCAAAAGATCGTGGATCTTGATCTGAGAATGCAACCATACCCAGCTTATTCATCAAAGTTAGCAGTCTCTAACTACTACCTTTTTTGATCCCTACAGCATCCTTAAAAAGGCAAAAATTCCGAAAATCGACGTCCATTCAAAAATGAGGTCCACCTCTTCTTCTTATCATAGTTGCCGTAGTTCTATAAGAATGGAAATGGGAAGCTGTGGCAAAAGAAGGCACTAGTCCTAGTCCTTAGTGGTGATTACCTTGTAGATTGGAGATGTCTTTTAGTGACTAAAAATTTAGACCCAAAAATTGGTCAAAGTGTTGCAGGACTTTTCGACCAACCTAATATAATGAATCAATAAAGAATAAACATCTAGGACGACCTGTGATCCTCCGTCAAAAGTGTCGCTAAGAATCTTCCTTCCTTTGCGCCTTTCCCACTATGGAATTGCTGGGACCGTCTGCAGCACTGACTCCAGATTTCTCGTTATCCAGTCCTCCCTGGAGACGTCGACCAGCAACTAGTGACTTTTTAATCACGCTTGACTTCGCTTCGGCTCTGCCGTGTTTTGTTAATGATATCGAAAAATAGGATTCATACTATTAAACTCAGCGCAACTGAAAGGATTTGGATAAATTCGCAATTTTTGAGAATTTTATGAGCTTGCGGAAGTCGTCTGGACGCTCCCACATTCAACTGCGCAAATAGTTCATATTTAACTTAGAAGGTGGCCAATGAGAAAACCATAATTACTTGATGGAACTTCAGTTTTTCTACACAGATTAAAAGTTAAAACAGTCCACACACTCAAATAGTTTATAGGCGTCCTTCCTTGTGCAGGTTAGCAGTCTCATAGATAATCCCTCTGCGACTTTTCAGTAAGCAAATGCGCTGTGGCCCAAATAAGTGGCAGTTCTCCCTAGTTGTCCCACTCACCGAAAGTCAATGGCTATTTTGTGACTAGCAAATTTTCACCGAATTTCTCCTTTTTTTTCTCGTGGTTAGATGGTAGGTATCGAGTGAGGTGAAGAAACGATTAGTGGGCCAGAAGTGGCAAATATCGCGTTCGCTGGCATAAAACGAGAAGCTCCGAAAAACTCTTCCGTAGAAGCTGGCAGGTCCTTTCTTAGGATATTTTCCATGATTTTTTTTATTTTTTCCCTTCCCGGAGAGTCACTTAGCGACCATCGGTTTGTTATTGGACTCACTGTCCACATTATGCAATCACGAAGTTTATCTTCGAGCGAGTAATTCATTGACTTCGAATAACAATCGAGCGAATAATTCATAATTACTCCGAGAAGAGCCTATGATTTCCTGATAGAACATGAATTTTTTCAACAGATTCAGCAGCACCCGTTTCATTGAGGACGTACAATGCGCAGCCATTGGCGTCACAGCAATAAGGCAATTTCTCGTGATTTGACTCGTAAAAAGAAGGCACACGGAGAAGTGAGCAGCTGGATAATGCTGAAAATAGATTTAACCAGACTAATTTCGTCAGTTATTTGGGACATAGTAATGTAAAGAGATCAGGTACCGCATAACCGAAAGCAAGTGCAGCAGGCTGTGGAATTGCGAGGAACGTTTTCGAGGCGAGAAAAGCACAGTTATGTTTTGGAACACCGGAAAGCAGGAATTTTTTTTCTTAGCCCATGTGGGCCAGACGAGTTTGCGCCAATGGCGAAAGCGCAAATTGCAAGCGGTGCGAATGGACGTATTCCAACCCTGGACCTTCCGACGACTGAGAATGATGGCTGGACATTCAGCTCAAAGGCACATTTCTCCGCGATCGGATGGGGAGGGCAGGGAGTCGTTGTGCTTTCTTCGATGGCGTGCCCTCCACACTGCCGCCCAAGGGGAGCGCTTAAATGCGGAATGACCCGAAGACCCAACGGAGACTCGCCCCCATCTGACCATGGCGAGAGGTTTTTTGAAACACCTTTCTCCAAAGTTATCAATGAATATCTATGTGCAGGGTCGAGCACTGCCCCCTCATGGACTACAGAATACCCCTTCTTTAGATGATCAGGTTGGGACTGCAGGCAAAAAGTGCGATCAACTTACGGTTCAAATGCTTAGCGGTTCGACATCCCGTGGATGACCATATTTACACATGTATACACAATTAAGCACCCATCGAAATGCTTCGATGCAGATCACTCCTAACACGGACATCACCAAAATGAGCACCAGAAGACGACTGAAATTGAGAAGCAATGTGAAGAAGAAGGAATCGCGCCAAGTTCGGAGAGGAACGAACAAGAGGCTTGTGAAGAATGTCCCCTCTTGACAGCAATCATATCCGCAACAATAGTCACCCTCTGCACATCCGTAGGCGATTTCTGTGGGACGTGTGTCATTCGGATAGTAAACCTGAAAATGACAAATGACAACATGGAATGACAGACATTTCGGTCAGTACTCCATCAGAGCTCACCCGGCCAAACTGAGGGTCCTGTGGGTCGATCTTATTAACACACTGCACCGGTAGAAATTCGGTTGGCTGTTGCAGGTCGGCATTCCAATAATACGAGCGAGAGCCAAACCTGAAGTGTAATTCTTGGACTTCGTTCAGTTTTTCAGACTTTTCTGCCTCTTCTTGCTATTCGTAGTTAGCGTGCAATCCAATGTTTGTGATAAATGTTTTGGCAAGTTGACCTGAAATGGATCTAGTCATCTCCGGGATGCGCTGCTGCTCGCTCATTGTTTCTCCTTTCAATGTTAGACAAGCCTACCTACTCTATCGCATAATCAGAGCAAGCAAAAGTTTTTGACATTCGAAGTAGTGCTGAAACAACCTTTTAGGCACTTTTCGTTCCACCTGTCGCTATCTCTGCCTTAAAGACTTCATGAGCTTCGGAGACAAACTGTACCATCACCTTCAAGACTCCTGATCCTTGCCATGTGCGAGTGAATGGGTTTGCAGCTATAGGCAAGCATGTCTATTTCCCCTCAGAAAGACGCACATGATTGCAGCTGGGGAGCCATAGGCCTCGCATATGGCAAGGATCAGGATCCACGGACAGGGAGTGTACAGTTGTTTTGGTGTCTACTCTCCTCATCGCATAACCAGTAGAGGACGACATGGATTAATTCTTTGTCATGGACGTCCGAGGAGAGAGAAATGACGATATTTCTCTGAAGCCTTTCCCCACGATTGCACCAGATTATCAGAATGGGAAATAATCGCCAAAAATCCCTGGTGGTGGCTCAACTGTAAGAGAAATCGCCATCTGATGGAGAAGGCTGAAATGTAACTCTCTACTAATCTCATTATAAGGCTCCTGTGGAGCAAATCAGTCCATTCTTCAGGTCTCTCATCGGGCATAGAGCCGCTTGAAAGCCACAGTGTAGGAATCCTTGCTATGATGATCATCTGCCGTGCAACGTAACTCTTCATGGTAGAACTCCGGGGCGGCTGCTCATCTGCATTCAATGCAAAATTGACGATTGTGAGTTTCGACGTCGAAGGTCCGAGACCACCCCATATTTCATCTAGGGCCGGGGTGCGTTTTCAAGTTGTGAGTGACATCTCCCTGCTGAGAACATTACTACTGGAGGTATAGAAATGGTACTGCGTTCGTGCTGCTACAAGAATATGGGGTGCCCATGCGCCACTCTCTTGACCATCCTCCGTTTATCGGACATAACTCGGGCAGCAGTTGCAGCTGGATGTCAGACTCGCGAGAAGCTCGACAAGGTCCAGGCTCTGTGATCAGATACTCAGTGCTCTGACTTCCCATCCACCCGTTTTTCTTGTGCAGGATGAATATTATGGGACCACCCACACAACAAATTTTTTCCTTTCTTCCTTGTACCCGCTCCTGAACCCATCTTCCACCGTGTATTTCGAGAACACCCTTACACACAACTATGGTCCGGCGCAGGTCAAATTGAGCAGGCGACTTCCTTTTATGACGTCTGATTTGAAAAACCGGCGCCGATTTTCACCACTCGGGCTTCTCTTCAATTTGTCAAGAACTTCTTCAGAGGCTAGGTTCGCCAATTTCACAGATACACAGGCTTAAGGTACTAGCTTCCAAAGTGTATAGTAGGCCCGCTGCTCTATCCCCTTGCTTTTCTGCCATTCCTCTATATTAGCGGCCAGTCTGAATGGATGACCTAATAAAACGCGTTTTGCACAAGGCACATCATTGGTTGGGATTTTTTAGTGCGCGTCTGTACGACCCCCCCTCTTTTTGGGAGTTGGTACGATCCCCTCCCCAGCCCCTCTGTCCTTCTTCACCGAATCGAGTCGTCGAGCGGGGGGGGGGTAAATAGATAGCACATGTGAAACAAGAAAAATCGCGAGACAATACGACCCCCCCCCCTCTACCCATTTTCAGGTTTTCTCCAACTTGCTGTCCTGCCCCTTTTCCCAAAATTTCCCGAAAACTCCCTACTTTTTACGAAAATTTCTGTCGAGGGGGGGGGGAGGAGGGGGGAGGGCATATAGTAGGCAAAACAGGAAAATCACGAAAAGTTCACCACCTCTCCCTACATCGCCAAAAAACGTAAATACGACCCCCCTCCCAAAAAATGACCCTAATACGACCCCCCCCCCCTTTAAAAACGTCCATTGAAGCGAGAAAATCAACTATCAAAATAAATTTTCCAGACATACGACCCCCGTCTCCTGGCGGCCAATATACGCCCCCCCCCTGTTGGGAATTCCCAACACGGAGTGCCCTGGTTTTTCATTTCATGAAGAACCTGATCAACGCCGAAAGTCTGAGCCGTTCCAGAAGTGACTTCCAGCCGAGCATGGATCAACATTTCGAATGATACCGGCGTTCACCGCCGAAGCGTGCAGTCCTGTCAGACAGTTTTTTGGATCTGACCGCATGCGTTCGCCACGTTAACCGATATCAAGCTTATCCACTAACAACGGGGCACATCCTCTTTGGGATATCCCCTATCAAACGAGGATGTGCCCTGATCGTCGATCTATGGCCCAATTAAATTTTTTTGTATAATGGCTTTCACTGTCTGCACCGGACGCTACAGAGAGGTAAGAGGCCGTAATTGCCTGCTGACAGAAACTTGCGAGTGTGGGGGAAAGTATTACTTCCGCATGTCGAACTTTCGCGCGTTTTTCCTTTTTCACATTCGTGCTTCTATACCACCCTCCCCCCGCGCTCGACAGCAATCAATTTTTGGTACTAGAAGAAAAACCTCGTGAGATTACGCGAAACATGAAGTGCTAGAGACGGGAAGAGAAGTATTTCGGTCGCGCTCTTCACATGCTGCGATGTATCCCCTCCTCCCTTCCCTCCTCCGCATCGACAAGCTCGATGTACGAGAAAGAACCAGGGGGTCGTATCAATTCACTATCTGGGGATCGTGCGGACTCGACCAAAATCCCCAACTAATGATGTGCCCTGCCAACAATGCGACTTTTCGGAAGGTGACCATCCTAAGACTGACTAAAAATCGCACCGATCAGCAGTTGCGATGGTGTTAATTTTCCTTTTGGCTAGCTGCATGGAGCGGAGGAAGGCATTGCAAGAATAGTTGATCTGCCTTTGTAGATATGTCTAATGACAAGGGTACTTCCGTACAAATAGGCATTCGTTAACTATCATTTACTGAAAAATCAAGCGTTCCGCTCTGGTCTTGAAAAACCGGGAATTGGAACTTTGAAGCATGAACAGATTAAATCTATGTCCTTACATGATCGGTTGATACGGATCGTTGATTATATGTCTCCCTGCTTTGAATGTCAGGTAGCCGGCGTCAGCTCCAGAGACTGTCGATCGAAACAAAGACGTTCGCTCGATTGAGCCAGTCTTGGCATATCTGAAAGGCGATAAGTTCATAATGATTTGGGAGGGCTTTCGAGACTCGAAAAATCATATTTCGCGCTAGTATAGGTGGAGTTATTTGGACAGGTACGTTCCGCTTATTGATAGGACTATCCTAAAGTCGCGTATGAATCCCTACATACTTTCGTGTGAATCGTGGAGTAGAGGCAGCTCGCGATCGGGAACGGCCCCGTCCGTGCGATCCACCACCTCGTTTGGCCATGGTTACCGCGCTGAGCAACAGCGAGAGTACACATAACCGTTGAAGAATCATCTGAAAAGAGATCCTTAGCCTTTGTAAAGATTTATAAAGGAGAGAACAATTTTATCAGCGAAGTTTCATCACTTTAAGACGTTCCTCGAAACATTGCTTACGTTCTCAGTAGAATAGAAGGATTCGATAGGAATCTTAGCAACAGTGACTGGGACAGTGGTACAGATAGATCATAGGCGCCCCAACTGAAGGAGGCGGTAGGCAGGATCTCGGAAAATGACTCTAGTTCCTACTGATATCTTTGCCATAAAGATGTCGTTGAAGGTCTGAAAACAGGAGGAAGGAGGGCATTGTCAGCTCACTCTACGTAATTTTTGCAGGGTGTGGTCTGGCGTTGTTGTGCAGGAAATAATCTCTGGTCTGCTGTCCACAAGTTGTTCCGAAATAGGGGATCAGCATTCATGGAGGAGTTATGTACATGTTGGCCGTCATTGCCGTTCCCTCGTCTAATAGCTCCCAGTACTCTATGCCACGAACGGTCCACATTATGTACAACATCACTCTTTTCTCTGAAAGCTGGATTTTTGGGCACGCCTTCTGCCACTCCTGCTTCTTCAGCCCACTGCGCACAGCTGTACGCATCGCCAAGATTTTCGAGCCTTGCATGCACGTGCTCGAGAACGGAAACAGTGAGCACCATGTCCGCACTGCGATCCATGTCGTGTTACTTCAATGCAAGGGGTACCCACCTATCTAAATTTTGGACCTTATCAATCGATTTCAGTCCACTAGGAAAGGTCGTGTGTGGAACACCGAGACTGCTTGACAGTTAACGGGTAGTATAGGGTTCCGCAGCAAGTCCAAATCCAATATCACTGGGCGCCCGCACATGTTTTCGCTTTAGACTTAGCATGGCTCCCTTCTTGAATTTGCTGTACCAGCTGTAGATAGTGATTCAACTGGGATAGCTCTCCTTATAGACCTCCAGCAGGCAGAGATAGGAATCGTCAAGATTGAGGCCAGACAGGTGCTAGAACAGCATGACATAGCGAAAGTGTAGTTCCGTGGCAAGAATTGCAAAGACACACCAGAAGGCATTTTTTTAATGTTTTAGATAATTTTCAATGCAGTTTTGTAGAACGTTTTTTTCTCTATCAATTGACTACAATGTGCCCGATTCAATCGGCAAATAGATTAAGAAGCCGAGATCAAAGCCACATATTCGCAAATGCACCATTATTTTCTTTCCAACCTAGTTCATGAGCACTCTACCAACATCAACATATGGAGTTATAACTGGGCGTGACTTGGGCTAGAAAGGCTCGAATGATGTTGAAGATGTAGTTTTTTTATCTTTTCATCACAAAAAGCATTGTTATTGCCTTTACGTAATTCCGTTGACAAGTTCTCAGCTAAACTAACAGTATATACGGCGGAATGTTATACGGCGGCCAGATGGAATGTTTAGGATATCAGAAGATCAGCATGACATCGGGGCACGTGAGAACGCACGGAGCACAACAGGACGGTGCGGAGGGAATTGGTTATATCGGGAGA